TCAACACCTCTCTCAAACAGTAATAAAAGATTAAATGAGGGATTTATTGCACAACTTTTGTAGTAGACTTAATTAGTTTTAGCGGGGTGTACCTAATAAACTGACAACTAAGTGAATGTAGTATTTTTTAAAAACTAACCCTTTAACTTTGCTCTCATTGCTACTCAAGTAAAAGAAATTGCATGCTGTGTGTTTACCCGCTACTGAATCTATGAGTCAAAGAAAATTGTTCCTACATTAAACGGCTCACAACAAAGTCAGCAGATTATCTTGAATAACTGGGTCATGATCTCTCAAAAGACACATTCCTGTTGAGTTTGTCAGATGTGTTTCTGGCACTTTGAAGCACCATAAGCTGAGTGACTTCTAGTTCCATTATGTTTAAGAAAGGGCAGACATCTCTACAGCCGATATCTCCAACACTCTGCAACTCACAACCAAAACAATCTAGACTCATAAACAGCACTACAGGTAAGAGGGAAAATATGATTTTGGGGGGTGAACTGTCCCTTAAAAGCATTGGCTTGCAAAATGGTTATTTTGAACCATGGGATTGTGCCAGAAAATTTTGAGCATCTGGTGAATTTTCATGCACCAATTTGTGCCTTTTCTGCATCAATTTGTCATAAAAGTCTTCTGCTACTTCCATGTCTTTACTGAGGGAGACAAATGCAAATGTTCTAAATATCCTCCTGACACCCTGTGTCCTCATGAGGACATCACATTTTGGGTTAACTTGACGTCATACTTCATTCTACTTTACTTAGACCTGTTGTCCTCAGTCATGGACACTTTGTATGCCATCTAGCGGTAATAAGACCATGATACACTATTCCTCTTAAAACAAGATGGCAGCCATCTCTGCTAAGTCAGTCTGCAGCTGATCCTGACACAAAAGTGGACAAGGTCCAAAACCTGATCACGTTATTTATGCAAATTAGGTTCACTGGTGGCCGTAGGTGTGAATGTGAGCATGAATGGTTGTCTGTCTCTACGTGTCAGCCCTGTGATAGTCTGGCGATCTGTCCAGCGTGTACCCCACCTCTTGCCCAATGTCAGCTGGGATAGGCTCCAGCCCCCCCACAACCCTCAACAGGATAAGCGTTACAGAAAATGAATGTTTGTAGTTTGTTATGGCAACAAATTTGACCAATTTTAGTTGGTAACAAGTAACAAGCTAATACACTGCTAATTAGGAAGTACTCATTTGAGGACATTAGGACTCTAGTATTGTCTTGTTGAGGACACCAGGACTTTATAATAATCGCATTTTAGGACACTGGAACTTAATTATCATTGATAGTGTTTCGTTTTTTTTTTACTTCTAGGGTCCTACCTATCTAAAATGGCTTGGAGAAATTAAAAATGCACACCAAACAAAAGTTATTGAGGGGGGTGTGTCCCCTGTGTCCCCCCCTGAAATCTACACCAATGCTAGGTGAAATTAGAAGTGAACTGAATTAAACTGAATCACACCAAAACATATTTTATGCAGCATTTTTCAGGTAATCCACTCACTTATTTTGAATTACTCACTTTTAGTTGTCAGGTAGTTTAGAAGTGAGTTAAAGAATATGACAAACTGTTCACCATCAAATATAAACACACCACAGGCAAACAATTGAATGCAAAATATATTAAAGTTGAGGGCATTTTTATCATCAGAATAACACCTTTCAGCCTGCATTTGCCTTCTTTTATTGAGTTCTTCTCAGCTATTCATGGATGCACAGATGGCACCAGCCTACAGGCCCATTATGCTCACAGATGAATCTAAGCAAGGTACTTAATTGGCATGGTTTCATGTTCGGCTGCAGCGTGGACAGGACTGGAGCCTCTGCCTGCCGGAGAGGACACCGGGGAGCCGTGTCGTCTACAACAAACCCTCCTCGCTGAACATTATTGCCCCGTCGCTGTGTGAGAGAGAGAGTGTGTGCGGGTCTGACAGGGCTGCCTCTCCCCAACTACACCACACCACGATCCGAGTTACAGAAGAGGCTTTCGACTCAAGCCTCCATCCGCCATTTTCAGCAGATTGAAAGCAGGTAGAGCACAAAAATCACAAGTCCCCGGTCACATACAGCAGGTAAGTGCGCGTGTGAGTAGCCTGAACCCAAAAAAACACCCTACGACAGGGAGCATTGAGGGAGAAAAACCACCTTACTCCGGCCAGCATCGGGAAGAATAAGGGGAGCGGACGGTGTGCCTACAAGGGTAACAATAAACTGCATCCTCCAGGCGCTGCACGGTTCACACACACACGTTCATTTCTTCTGTCTTTGTCAACTTTTATGATGCATAACGCTTTTAAAAATCCGCTTTACGCACACACACACACGTACACATTGCAGCCTCTCCATTTGTTGCCTGAACTTCAGCTTGAGGGATTTAAAAATGTCTGATCACAACTCCAGCACCAGCGGATTACACTGGAGAGGATAGAATCAAATAAACCTAAATGAACTGTCCAGTAAAAAGTTCAAGCATTTTATCCTTTGTTTAAGAAGATGATAAATACCCTCAGCTGGAGCACCAGGACTCTGACAGTAAGGTTTATTGTGTTGGCTTTGTGAGCTCTATCTGCCTCTGAGATGATATAACATCATCAGTAAGTCAAGAGACAGTTTAAAAGGTCAAAAGATGTGCAACTGAAACCATGTTGAAGACATATTTGTTTTTATTCATAAATTCAGTGTGATGTGTGAGCCCAGCCCCATGACACATGGGTCAGCTTATTGTGCTCCTGAACAATTGGCTTTTCTGCCAGCTGGGACAAAAAGCAGGTTACTAAAGCACAGCCAGTGTCTGTGATGGAAACGTTTAGAAAAATCCTTATTTCCAGTCATGCAAGAAACTTTTCTGATGATTGATTAGTTGTTTGAGCCTTTGTATTAGCAACAGTAAGCTTCTCAAACTGCCAAGATGTCATCCTTTAAACACTGAATATCTTACCTATAACATATTTCAAAAACCTGAATAAAAGTCTTTGCGTGCTTTAATACCAACTTGTTTATTTGACAAGGACATAAGACATAGCTTGATATGTAAAATACAAAGTAGATGCAGTGCATGCAGGTTTCTAGTCATGGCTAATTTGCAACTTCTGTCCCTGGTTAGGCTTTTAGAATTAAAACTGTAAGTGTAAGATTACTGAGCATTAAGTAACATATACAGTAAAATACAACTAAGTCAAAGAGAAGACCACAATAAGAACAGAGACAAAAAACAATTAGCAGTGACCATGTTATTGAAGTATGTGGTCTGTGTGCGGTTGTCCCTATGTGTACATGTCCACACATGTATGTCCAAGCATTGTGCTTAACGCATTTATATGTGTGATCAAAGATTGTGGCCTTCACAATCACTGCATTGCTTTACATGTGTGTTAAAAACCTTAAGTTCTGTCAGTTTTTTAATTTCAGATAGTAATGCATTCCACAGTTGTATCCCTCCTGCTGAAAAGGATGATTGACCAAATGTTGTTCTGCGGTTCGGTGCTCTACAGTTTCTGCTCGTTACACCCCTCGTTCTGATTCCACTACGTTGTTTGTTTAGTTTAGTTGACAAAGAATTTCTGATGCTTGGTTGTTCACACACTTAGACATTAGTTTTAAAAATGAAAAGTTTACAAAACTGTCAAAACTTACTATGTTGTATTTCTGTAGAATTAGGCAGCAATGCCATCCAACATCCATTACTTTCAACACCTGTTTATATAATGATCTAATGGGTGTAATTGTTGTTTGGCTGGCCTGACCCCACAAGGTTCTACAATATGATAAATGGGAAAATATCATGTGAATATCAATATGAATTAATGTGCCGCCTTGAGGGTATAAATTAGAGATCATTTGGCATTCATGACATTCAAGAAATATCATCCAGAATTTCACATCTCATACAGTAAATTACACAACATGCATTTATGCAGAAATCTGAGAGAGCTGCACGGCTGACAGTCTAATTTAAGATTGTAGGATCTTTACCCCTTATTGGTGCTGTGCTTAGTTTCCCTCGGGACTTATCTTTGGGGTTTCTGACATTCTGTAGGTAAAGCTGGAAACAAATTCACAGTGAAAGCAATTATTAGTTGCAGCCTGCATTGATTAACGAAGTTAATCATAGGCTGCACTTCTTGTTGCTGTATTTATGAAAGGGGCTTTACAGTGATTTTAATCATAGGCTAACGAGAGAGGGAAATATCGTCAGTGTGCTGTTTACTTGTAGAAGAAACACACAACTTTCATGATGTCCATAAGCACTAGGGGTGCGGGAAACAATCAGTACAGCGTAGTATTGCGGTATTTTTGTGTGGCAATATCGTATTGTCACACAGTGCCAAGTGTTGATTTTTAAAAATTATATAAATTATTAATATGACATACAAATTAAATTTTAGGTAGCCTACTAGAATCATATAATCAATTGTTTTTTTAGTCCACTAGATACATTTTACTGCTGCTGGGGAAAAAAATGGCTGAGGTGAGATGAATAGACTGAAAACTTTATCTTATTCAGTACAACAGATGTTGACAAAGTTTTCCTTTGGGAACATAATTTACAATTGAAAAAAGGTAATAAATCACAATATATTTTATTCCAATACTCAGCGTATTCCAACGTATTTTAAATCGCAATAATATTGTATCATGACTTAAGTATTGTGATAATATTGTATCATGGATTCTCTGGTGATTTCCACCCCTGTGGGGTCAGGACCAGTGTGGAATAAGTCATAGTAAATTCTGTTTTTATCTGTTGTCAGTTTGATGCAGAAAACCTCAACACTTCAAAGGAAGGTTGTATTAGACAGTTGGTCTTTTGCCGTCACTAAGACCCAGAAATTAATCTTCATTATGAATTTGCTTTGAGAGCATCCATTCAAGTGTGCTGCAACTTTTTCACCACTTACTTTACTCCATATTTAAAGTCGATGTGACAGTGCTCCTTTAAGAGTGGGTGCCCGCTGTCAGGTAGAAATATCTACTTTTTGCAGTCTGTTAAATAAGGATGTTATCTCAACGTGATTGATTATATTTGCATGATTATATTTGACATTTTCACAGGGTTTTGATGCAAACATTTCATGTGTTGTAGATCATGGCCATTACTGGAGGGACAGTGGAGACACTTGATGAAATTCCAGCTCATGTGTGGAAAGGTCTGCCCGACTGTTTGACTCTTGGACCTTCTGCTATAAATCAAAGCCGTGTCGGTGAGTACAAAAGTGTTGGTCCTGTTTTTTTAAGATAGATACAAACGGTGAACAGCATTAACATGCTGTTCACCGTTTGTATTTCACTGATGTACAACTCTAAAACCGACTTCCAGCAGCCAGTGATAGTGGATTGCAATGAGACCGGAGTGAGCTGGAAAATGGAGAACTTTTATCACAGTTGGGGATGATCAATCAGTGTAAACAAAAGAGAACTTGAATGTTTGCTGTGTCACAATGCTTTCAGTGTTTTCTACAATGCCTCAGACACACTTAACTACCCTCAAGTCTGGTAAACACCCATAGTTTCGACTTGCTTTGTTCCACACTGACCCCCGAGGAGGTATACTGACATATCCACACATGCAAGGAAACAAACAGAAAACAACAATTGCAGTTTTTGCCCAGGGATTGAAATCAAACTTGAAAATACAATATAATAAAGAAGAGAAAGATAAGAAAAAATAAATAATTCGTGATCATTTTAAAATCTTTTAAATAAGTACACTGTTTTGGAACATGGTCATCTACTTACCTCTTCTTTAAAACTAGCAGATTACGTTTACCACACCTAACTTTAGGCTGATTATGTTTTTCAAAGGTTCATGCTTAAAGGTCCAGTGTGTAGGATATAGGTGGATATATTGGCAAAAATTTAATATATTATAATAAGCATGATTTCTTTAGTTTATAATCACCTGAAAATAAGAATTGTTATGTTTTTGTTACCTTAGAATGAGCTGTTTATATCTACATAGGGAGCGGGTCCTCATATGCAGAGATCACCATGTTGCAATGCCATGTTTCTACAGTAGGCCAGAGTGGACAAATCAAACACTGACTCCAGTTAGGGCCATCTGCGTTTTCGTGTCGGCCACCTGAGTTAGAAGCTCCAATGTGACGAGCAGCATTGGAAAAACACTGATTTTTCTAACATGCAACGGCTTTATTTGGCTCTTTTACTGGTTTAAATTGCTGGGCCAGTTTGTTTTGGAGAGGAGGAGGCCTCTGTAAAATCCTCATGAACATCTGGATCTTAAGTTAGCAGAGAAAAAAAGGGAGCATTAGCAGGTGCTGGGCTAGTGGCTTGCCTCCAGCATGCCAAACAGTGTCGGGGGAAACACTGATTTGTAATGTGAAACTTCTTTATTCAGCGTTTTTACTGGTTTAAATCACCTGGTTCGTTTGTTTTGAAGAGGAACAGACCTCTGTGGATTAATCGGCTCCTGGTTAAAATATCCTAAACAGTGAACACTCAAGGTTGAGGTGTTTCAGCTGGTTGCAATCTACAATCTTCAGTGCCAGATGCTATTAAATCTCCCTACATATTGCACAGTTTATCTTTAACCCTGTGTACAAAACGTGCTGTGAATAATCTCTAGTTATTATAAACCTTATCATGCCAGTCTTGAAGATCCACATTCTTGAGTCAAGCTCAAGGATCACCTTTGTTAAAGTCAAACACAGTACAGGATGTCTCTTTTTGGGCACCACTATCTAAATGTACCGAAAATTCTACATATTTTTATGATACAAAGATACAAATTTCAACGTGTTTAGTGCTTTAAAAATCTAAAAAATACCAACTGTAACAGGTGTAAGACGTTTTTCCATGTTTTATTTTCAGGTGTCTGGGCCACTCGGGTCATTCCTAAAGGCAAGAGGTTCGGCCCATTTGTAGGAGAGAAGAAGAAAAGGTCCCAGGTGACGAGCAATGTGTACATGTGGGAGGTATGTTAGCGGCTGCTCTGTTGGCTTTGTTCCCTAAAATAATCTCCTCTACCTTTCTGTGATGTGTAGTCACTGCATAGCTAAAACGAGCCCAGCTACATTCTGTATCAAGTGCAGCACCCACATTTCAAGTGACATAATCTTTTGTTACCTGAAAAATGTGTATGATGAATTAACATAAACATGCCAAGGCACAGCTGCTGTTCTGGGCAAAGGTGCACCCATTCAGTGCTCCTGTCCTGTGTCCTGTAGGTTTACTTCCCATCGCGGGGCTGGATGTGTGTTGACGCCACAGACCCCATGAAGGGGAACTGGCTGCGTTATGTGAACTGGGCACGCTCCAGTGAAGAGCAGAATCTTTTCCCCCTGGAGATAAACAGAGCCATTTATTACAAAGTTTTACGGGTAGGTCAAACACACATTCATATAGCCTATGGGTCCTACAACCAGAGGCACATGGTCTGAAATATAGTGAATAAGTGGATGAAAGAAAAGTCTTCTGGGGTAAGGAACACTAGTCTGCCTTCAGACTTAAAGGAATACCTCACCCACAAAATGACTGTTTCCAAATAAATTTGTGAAGAATACTTTGTTTTTCTTGCATACCTCCACAGAAAATGGCGACCATATTGGATTTATTGATTGACTTAAATCTTACTGTTTAAACTGAATTTAAAGTTGGTTATTTATGTTCTCTTCAAAGCCAGACTGCCATGGTTTCTTAACCAAAATGTTTATGTTTGGAAAGTACTGAGCATATGACTGGATAAATTAGACTTCGATAATACTACATGCAGTCTTTTTGGCCATTTTCTGTGGACGTGTGCGAAGAAGAACAAAGTTTTCTTTGTGAATTCAAAGTAATATGACATTACTAATTGATTTAAAAATCAATGGTCGTTTTTTGGTGAAGTATTCCTTTAAATTGACACCTAATAAATACGCTTAGTTGTCAGATTCAGTGCAGTGTGTTTCAGTGGTGATGAACTGGACTGCATTATACTGAAATGTGTTTGAAGTTTTTCCCCCCTCATATATTATATTATATCAATACAATGCTGTCCAGTTCAATACTACTATAGACAACAACCTCAGTAATAAACATGTAGTTTGATTAATACCTCTCCATTAGTTTCAGTCAAAACTGAACATTATGTTTGTAAAGCTAGAATTCATGGCCAAGCTTTTACCTAATAATAAAGTGGCCAGAAAGTGTGTGTTAATGATGCATTCACCTCATAAATCATGACACACTTCTCTCCCCTACATAATGGCATTAGCTGCTTATGATATTTAAAATGTTGCTACTGATGTTGCTGATTCTGGCTCTGATATGACTTAAACTCTGGTGTTGTCTAGCCCTAATTTTGAATGCAGAACTTTTAGGGCGCTTGTAACAAAGTATTTTCATAGTGTCGTATCAGCACTGTTACTTGGGTAAAGGACTTGAATACTTCTTCCACCACTGGTTGAAACTGCCTGTTTGAAAACATTACCTGTGATGTGTTTGTGAAGCTTAACACCCATTACGATTCAGGTACATTTAGAAAGTGGTTAAATGCAGTTATGGTGACCACTACACATGCCACCCAAAATTGTGCACCATTAGAGAATATCAGAATCACCTTTAGTGGCAAAATGTATGTACGTATACAAGGAATGTGACTCTGTTTTTTGCACCTGACTGACACAGTAATAGATATAACAGCTAGGAACATGGACAACAAGCTGGACAAATGGTAATGCGAAGACGGTCATATTATGGAAATAGGTGTTTATGCAAATATTATGTAGATACATATAGAAAGCAGCAATGACCAACAGTAAGAGTAAGAGACAAATAAAACATCCATGTAAGTAAAACGTTTTGTAAGTTGTAAACCAGGGGTCTGGGACCCTTAGGGGGTCCTCAGACTTACTGCAGGGGGGCTGCCAAATTATTGTTTGTTCATTTTTGGCATGCTTTTTCTCCAAAAATTAAAACATGTCTGATAATGCATGTTAAAATGCATCCAACATCAGCCTATTCATAAAAAAAGCGAAGGAAATCCCAACCCATTTAATTTACAGTAGACATTAATGATAGTATTACATATATGGATCTGTCAGTAGTTATTATTTTAATAGCTTAGTAATAAAAGTATGTTCATACACGGCACTTTAGCTCACCTTGCATGTTATTGTAGGCTAAGTTTAATATGTAACTCATGTTTTTATGTATAAGAGGGGGTCCCAGCTCCGTCTCTCTCTCAGCTCAGGGGTCCTTGGTCTGAAAAAATATTTAAAGCCCCCTGTTGTACACTCTACAAACAGTGCAAATACACACTGAATGGATATAGCTGGACTGGATGCTTATGTACAGTATGTGCATGTCCATATCCTGTGTATATACACAGCGTGTAGGATTACTGCAGACTATGGTGAAAACACTGTCAAATTCCATACCCCCCCCCCCCCCCCCCCCCCCCCCCCCCCCCCCCCCTAGACAGATAAGATGCACAGTGGCCCAAATATCCCCCTTGCCTCTCAGCAAGCCGGGCTGTGATTGGTGGCCGACCTCATCTCTCATTGTTGCAGCCTATCGGGCCGGGAGAGGAGCTGCTGGTGTGGTACACTGTGGAAGACAACCCTGAGATAACAGCTGCACTGGAGGAAGAAAGAGCCAGCAGTCTGAGCAGGAAAAATTCACCCAGGGCGAAGCGAGGTGAGGCCTTACTTACTCCTACCGAGATGTGCTCGGGTTTCTAACCTCCCGACGAGTGTGCTGCACACTCGCCACACCGAACTTAGCCACGAATTGATTTTGTGTGCAGCCCAGTCGAAGTTGTAACAGGCGAGCTAGCTAGCTACGAATGAAGGAAGGAAGGCTAGTGGTGGCTAACGTTAACGGCTGCGATGTGTGGGGCTTTTCTCTACTTTCATACCCGACCCGAAACTCGTCGTCGCGGGCAGATTTAGCTCCAAATAACGACCCGTGAGCCGACTCGTTCCCGTGTAATACAACAGCTAGCTGTTAAAGGAGCATCTGGGCAACTTTTTAGCAGCTTTTCCTCCTCCTCTGGGTCCTGACGTTGTCGAGGATGTGACCTTCCTTGAGTTCCTAAAGCATGAAAGCCATCCATCGGCGAGCTTCTCCTCTTGATGATGGCCTAGCAGGTTAGCTAACTAGCCAGCTGGTTTATCCAAACTGCAGGCTAATTAGGGCGCAGGTATTGGATAACGACATAAAATATAGCTGCTATATGGTGTGAAGAGTGTTTAAAATTACCTTACACGTCGGTTTGAGTCCAGAATAACCAGTTCATCGAGTTGACAGACTTGGTGTTGAATGCTAGCATGAGGCTAAACGGCTAAGTCTGAACGCACGTATCCCAGTGTACAGGAACTGATGGCAAACTGTGGACTATATTATCAATAAAATATGATCATATCGATAAGGGGGCAAGACATTTAAAACGTCGGCACTCATAATAGGTAGGTGTAGTGTTGTAGCCTGGTTTGCTAGCTTTAACATTTCGTAACATCCAAACAGAATCCGATAATAACGCCACATAAACTTCATTACGTCAACAGCTAGTGTGTTTTGTTTTTGGTTTAAATAACAAAAGATAAATAACGTACAACCTACCAGCTATTTGAGAGACACAATCTGCATGGCTGTGATATGTCACTATTACTTTTTCAGTATGAACTTTGGACATAGTGTTTCCATGTTTCAGATCATGTGGTTAATTCAAACAGGACCTCAAAGAATAGGACAAATTGATAAAAATATACATATACAGTTAGTGTGATATCTGATCATGTCAGCTGTGTCCTGGTTTTGCTACTTGTTGTTTCACCTATCTTAAATCTTAGGCATGTGGGTGTCGTGTAGTGTGATGCAATGTGTGGCAAAGAAGAAATATTACAGTACAGAGTAAATAATATGCCAGCTAAATGCTTGCAAATGGCATTTAGCAACTCTGACTCTTTATTTAATTCAAATTAAGTAAAAACATGAGTAAAGGCAGCACACAGGAAGTCAAATCTGTCCATTTAACTCTTGACATGTATGAATTAAAGTTGAAAATAAAATATAAAGGCTATGAGCTACATATCCTTAGTTTTTATCTTTGAAATGTTGTTAACCTCATCTATACTGTCATATTTTTAAATGGGTTTTGTGTCATTTCTTGTAGCCTCCAGCCCATCATCTCTTTATACTGCAGTGCATTTGCTTTTGGCAGCGTTGTCCTGCAGTGCACCGCAAAGTCAACCTTGATAAAGTTAGCCTACCTACCCTGCTCGCTTCATCTTAATATCAATAATACCTAACCAGTGTATGCCAGAGGTGGTGTGCTTGCACAGTGACTGATGGATTAAAAAAAAAAAAAAAGACACAAAATGTGAGGGCTCATTGATTCTTAAAAAAGTGATTGGGTGCTTGTGTTGGTGCTGAAGATTTAGCAGAATGCCTGTGACCGTGCTGATCAGATGACTGACCTGCAGTATGTGTTGCTCTGGTATGAATTAGGCTCTGTAGGCCGGGTCAGGTGACCTTGTTGACACACTCCAATGATGAGGAGCTGCCAGGGAAGCCTCTTGAGTCAGACATGGGGTAGAAATTTAAATTAGTGATGCCTGGAAGCGCTTAATTGTGAATGCAAAGTGAGGCTGCTTATGATTTGGTGTAGAAACTTGCAGTCAGTTTTACTTTTTCACCTCACATTATCAGAGTCTTATTGACAATGGTTTCAGTGGTCTATTAATCATTTCTTAAACATTTGTTGATCTTTTTTTAGCATCACTCCCGAAGGCAATCTAGAACTTTAACCCCAGAGCATGCTTTTTAGCCAGAAGGAAATAATAATGCTCAAATAAACATTTACCATATTCTCACCACATTACAATAACTGCTCTTAAATAATTACTTTGTTATCTTTGTCGGAGCATTGTTGAGGATGATTTCTACACTTTCACTTTTCATTTAAAACCTGTGTTTACTTTTGATGGAGCTTGATACAAAGCATTGCATGTGTTTGTACTTGCAGCCAGAAGAAAGCTGCTGGAGCAAGCCAGACAGGCTGGTTTGGGTGGATTCAAGAAAACACGTGTAGCCAATCCTACTGTCAAGGAGATGTGGGATGGGGAAGAAGGTAAGGTGACTTATAGTTCTGGATAATCAGCATATTATTATACTTCCACATTATCTTTCATTGGACATGTCTAAGGTAGTTAAATGTAAACTGTGTACTGAAATGACTTAACATCACATAACTTGATTGATAAATTGTTTACAGGTCTGAAGGAGGAGGATGAGAGGCCATCCACCTTAGGGCCATCCCAGGAACCCCAGGAAACCCATCCCTTAAGAAGCACTGTTCACAGAGATGTGGAGGACATGTCAGCAATGATGACGGACCAGGGAAATGGGGAGGAGGAGGAGGAGGAAGAGGAAGAAGATGAGGAGGATGCTGATGATCTGGAGGAACCAAGTGAAGTACAGCAGCAAACTGCACAGCATTCATCTGCGGTGGATTCCATGCAAAATAAGCAGCCTGGCTCAGCGCTGACACGTGAAGAAAGCCATAAGGATTCGCAGGGAAAGTTGGAGTCAGAGGTTGATCCTGAGCTTGACCTTGACCCCGACCCTGATGGTGATCTTGAGGGAGATCCCCATGGGGAGTCGTTTCCCTGTCAGCACTGTGAGCGCCACTTCTCCACCAGGCAGGGTCTGGAACGTCACATACACATTCACGCCATCACTAACCAGCAAACGCAACTGTTCAAGTGCCGGTACTGCAATAAATCCTTCGGCTCCCAGGTGGGGCGGCGGCGGCATGAGAGAAGGCATGAGAGTGGGCATAAGAAAAGGCCTGGCTCTCTGGCAGGGACTGCCAGTCTACTTAGTCCTGCAATGCAGACTGATGGTTCAAGTCCTGACTGCACCAGCCCAACAAGTCACTATATAGCCATAGGGTCCCAGTTTACAGGAGGACCTCTGCACAACTCTGAGATGCAGAAAAAGGAGTTGGGGCCTTATGCTGACCGTCCCTTTATATTGGATGAAAATGGGGAATCGAAGGAACTCCATCCCTGCAAGTACTGTAACAAAGCATTTGGCACACACACCAACATGCGCCGGCACCAACGCAGAATACACGAACGGCACTTGTTACCAAAAGGAGTTCGCAGGAAAGGCATGCTGCTGCAAGAGGCATCAGTGCAGCAACAGCAGCAACCCGATGAATCTCCCAGCACCAGCCCTCCGCCCGTCTACGTGCCCAGTGCAGACACAGAAGATGAGGTAGACAGGGATGATTACGCAGTTGACATATCCAAAAACATCTCTGAGAATCTGAGCTTCTACATTGATGGCAAGATTGTGTCCACCAGTTCGGTGAGCAGCTGTGAAGTGATAGAGGTGGACTCGAGGTCTGCAGCGCTGTTCGGGCTGGACACAGTCATCATCAGCCCAAATCAGATCAGTCAGGCGCTTAAGGTGGAGGGTCGAACGAGTGCTGCAAAGCAAGTCTCCAATGTTGGCCAGCCTGCAGCAAAAAGAAGAACGTCTACACCTCCACTTGTTCCCAGCCTCAAAGTGGAGACAGAGTCAGCATCTTTCACAGCTTCTTCATCATCTTCTTCATCCTCTACATCTTCCTCATCTAACTTGTTAGTGGGTGGACTGTTCCAACAAGCTGCCGATTCATCAGCATTTCAACGAGAGAAAACAGTTTATCTCTCACCTAAGCTCAAACAGCTCCTTCAGACCCAAGACATTCAGAAATCAACCATTACTCTGATAACAGACAGCCATAGACTGGCCTCCCCGCTGTCAGTCACGCCTCTGCCAGGAGCTTCAGGCAGGTTTAAAAGGAGAACATCCTCACCCCCTTCATCTCCACAGCTCAGTCCTGCATGTAAAACAGAGAGCTGTAAATCCGAAGTGGTAAGCTCATATGCCCTTAAGGTGCCAAAGCTCGAAAGCCACAGCACATCACCTCCTGGGAGCCTGCTGGACAAGGAAGACAGAGACGGCCCGAGCCTTTCTGGAAATAATATGCAAGGCCAAACCTCATCTAGCAGTGGTGGGAATTCCTGTAATCAGCAGCCCTTGGATCTGTCGAACTCGGTCAGTAAGAGGAGTGACAGCTTGAACAAGGTGCTTGGGGATTCAGCTCTTGATTTAAGCTTCCATCGGAAGAGCAATGTTGAGCCTGACTTAAAAGGAAGTCCAGCACCACAGCCACTGATAAAAAAGAGAAAGCCCAACACCAGCATGCTTGAAAAGGTGCTTATGAATGAGTATTTAGGTCTACCTTTGACAGCGGAGGAGGGCCCCTTGCCCTTAGCGAACCTAAGTTGTTTCCATTCTCGCTCTCCAAATGTTGCGTCAGAGTCTGCCCACCCCTCTCCACCCTCTTTGACCCCTGTCACTATGAACCCCTCTTCCCCTGGTAACTCCAGTGTGACATCCCCGACACCGCCTCCCCCTCTACTACCTACTATACCGTCTCCACCACCTATGCCGAGCTCTCCTCTTTCTCAGCCATCAGACTCCTCTGCACTGAGACCTCTGCCTGTCCTCTCGCCAAAAATGTCACCAAGATCAGTTGAACCCAAGCCCCCGTCAGGCTCAGAGGAGAATTTGTTCGCTGAAGAAAATGAAGACGAGGATGAGAGCCATATCTCACAGCCACTGGACTCCCCGAACACTCCACTTAAAGACCCCTTTAACAGTTCAACGATATCAAGTCCTTGTGAGCCGACATCAGTAGATCTGCCCGCTACTGAAGAAGATGATTCTCAGACTGCAAACTTCAACAGTCTGCTAAATGGCAACATGAACCAAAATCTAGACTCGGTTACGGAGAAATCTCACTCTGCTCTGTCACCCCAGCCAGAATCATCCTCTTTCTCATCATCTCCTCCTCCATCACATGATTCATCCCCATCACTTGTTTCCCTCCCTCAGATTAAGATAAAAGACGAGCCTCAGCACTGCATAGATGAGCTGCCAGCCATGAATCATGCACCTCAGGATGGCGTTGACTCTTCACCTCAGCCTGCTGCTCCTGATAAACCGTCTGATAAAACCTCTGAGGCAGAGGAAGTCGACTCGACATACTGCAAGACTTTTGTGTGTAATGTCTGCGAGGAGCCATTCAACTCCATCAAAGAGCTCAGTGGACACATTGCCGAGCACGCTGCAGATTGGCCGTTCAAATGTGAATTCTGCGTGCAGCTGTTTGGTGACGCTCCAGCCCTGCTGGCTCACCGGTCAACACTACACGGAGTGGGCAGGATCTTTGTGTGCTCTGTTTGTTCCAAGGAGTTTGCGTTTCTCTGTAACCTCCAGCAGCATCAAAAGGATCTGCATCCAAACGAGACATGTTCGCATACCACTGTCGAGAGTGGCAAGCTTAGGCCACAAAACTACACAGATCCTTCCAGAGCCAAAGAGGAAAGCAGTCCCTCAACACCAGCACCAGAGGTGACTGATGAAGCTGCTCCACACAGTGACACTGTTTTAGAAAAATCAGAGCCTGATGTCAATGGTAATCATTCAGAAGATGGGACAGAGGACCCCAATGAGGAGCTGTACACTACAATAAAGATCATGGCCTCAGAAGGAGGAAAGCCTAAAGGCCCAGATGTTCGCCTTGGCATTAACCAACACTACCCCAGTTATAAACCACCCCCTTTTCCTTATCATAGCCGTTCCCATGCTGGCTCTGTGGCCTCGGCTACTAACTTCACCACCCACAATATACCACAAACTTTCAGCACTGCCATTCGCTGCACCAAGTGTGGCAACAGCTTTGACAACATGCCCGAACTGCACAAGCACATTTTGGCCTGTGCCAATGCTAGTGATAAGAAGCGTTACACTCCCAAGAAAAACCCCATCCCCCTCAAGCAAATAGTGAAGAGTCCAAACGGAGTTGTGTCACCCACAGCAGCCATCGCAGGCCAGAGTCCTTTCCGTAGAATGGGTCAGCCAAAGAGACTTAACTTTAATCAAGATACTGGTAAAACAAAAATGAGTGCCCTCAGTAAGAAGAGAAACCAGCTTGTCCAGAAGGCGATTTCACACAAAAATAAAGCTGTCACTTCTGCAAAGAAGGGTGCCGTTAAAGTTGAACAAGAGCAGGCCTCTAACGTTTGCCCCCACTGCAGTCGCGAGTTTACTTACCCTGCAAGTCTCAATAAACATATGGCAGTCAGCTGTCCCAAGAAGCCTGTTGTTAAAAAGGGCAAAAAAGCTGTAGCAGAGGTGAAGAAAGAGGCGGTGTCTGTGGTAGATAAAAACACAAATCTTAAAAAGAAAGCCTCAGACTGTGAAACACTGCACATGGAGTCAGAGCCTAAACCCCTGGGAAAGACCAGAGCTCGTAGCTCCGGTGCAGCAGACCCTGAACCCACCCAGACGAGCAAAGGAAAAACCGCTCTTACGGCGGGCCGAATAAAGAGGCCTGCTTCGTTCCCAGCACCAATCCCTGTTCGCAAAAAAGCAAAGAAGGGCCAAGTTCAGTCTCTACCTCCCACTCCGTCAGCCCCTGACACTCCCAGTGACACTGCACAACAACGGCCAGCCATGAAAATGCAGCGTATGGGTAAAGAGGCAGCACCCAAGAAATTAGCAGAGGCCAAATCACCACCGACACCACAGCTGAAGAAAGAGGAGCGGTTCTCCCTTCGAACGAGGGAGAGAGTAGGTGGTCCAGTCACCAGGAGCTTACAAATGGCCAACGCAGCTCCTTCTGCTGAGGTGAAAACAGAGGAGCCACCGATTCAAGAGCTAAAAGAGACTCAGGTGAGACATCGCACTGTTTGGTTTTCTGACTCTCTTGCTTAGTCTCTCTGCTGAGGCTAGACAGATAAATTGGCCAGGCCAGTATTAGTGTATTAAAGATATATTGATGTCACCTGTATATGCCAGCTTATAGAATACAGAATTGCTAAAGATTTGTGTTAGGCAGTTTAGTAAGTGTCTTTATGACATAGGTTGTTCACCATTTTTTTATTTGTAAAATGCCCAACTTATTTCATATCATGGTAAAAATTCTTTGATAACAATTAGAAACCTCATGAAAATGTTTATAATCTTTGCTGTTAAGTTAAATGAACAATTTTAATAAAACACTGAAATATCTAAAAGTCAGAAAGCTAAAAGTAGGGTTTTTTCCTCTAAGCACATGAAAAGTTAACATTTTGGAGGACATTGTTTTCACTGGATGTGTATATGTGATTATGTTTAAAAAAAAAAAAAAACTTTTGCTAATACAGCAACGTTTTTTATAAAGCTCTAAAATATTAGTGTCATTATCTGTCTCAGAAATCCAGCCTCAGTTGGGCTGCTTAATATCCTGTTTAATAACCGTACTGTTGGACATCTAAATTTTAAATTTATGACCTAATTACACGCATACTCATGTGCCATGTGTTATAAGTTTTATTTTGTGCTATTACTGTCAGATTTTGCAACTCTAGGGCTACAACTAACATGTTATTTTCATTTTATTTTCAGTTTTTCTGCCACATTTATGTTCTTGATTTAGTTGATAAGTATAAAAACGTCAGAAAACAATGAAAAATGTGCATCACAGTTGCATGGAGGCCACAAAAACATCAGTCAGATGTCTTGTTTTGTCCAACCAACCATCCAAAACCCCGCCAACTCAGTCAGCAGGAGTGCTAACATAATTAAATGTAAATTTCTCACATGTTAGAACCTTAAAACATCAAATGTGTTCAAGATCCCCATTAGCTCTCACATTGCAGCAGCTATTCTTCCTGGAATCTACAGTTACATGGCGACAATAGAAAAAATACACAACACAATACACTAACATAACACATCATATGCATGTTTACTGTAAATAACACAAACAGTTGACACATTTTAAATGGTTAATGTACATGCACTTGTATAGTGCCTTTCTAGACATCTGACCACTCAAAGTGCTTTTTACACTACGAGTCACATTCACCCATTCCCACACACATTCATACACTGACGGCCGAGGCGACATACGGTGCCACCTGCTACTCAGTTTCTAACACACTCACACACCAGTATCAAGGATACTCCGACTTGAACTGATGTGGGGACATTTAGTGTGGTATTTTTGTTTTAAAAATGCTTAAATTATCAAAATTGCTGCAGATGAATTTTTCATCAGTCAACTAACTAATAGTTGCAGCTCTGTGTTGGTCAACTCTGTGTTTCTGGTGTGTTACAGGAGGTGCCGATGAAGTGAGCCATGTGGACACTGTTGAGCTCTCCCTGGGAACACGGTGCTCACCTCTCAGGCAACACTCTGGACTAATCAAGGCACTGACAGCACTGAGGTCGACCTCTGTGGTGGGCTCATTCACTCAAAACATGTGAAGTCTGCTTCTCTCAACTGCCTTTGCTGGATTTAAGGAGGGAACTCTCTTTATCTTCCACCGATCGTATGAACTGAACTGAGCCTCGATTTTTAGCCAGCCTTGCAAAAACAAAAAAAAAAGAAACTGTAAATGACAATGAGTTAATATATACACTATGAGTCATTACTTGACCCAAAACAGTAACATTAGGGCTCCGTTATGTTGGAAAGCTGATAATATTGCAGATGGCAATCATGTATCAGTTAGGGTTAGGGAAACTTGTTTATTCTTTCGTTCTGTTTTTTCCCCATTTGGTTGTTTAGATTTTTGGATGTTTCCAGAGTCTCTTAATGCATGTGCAGAATAGAGTATGAAATAGATTAAGCCAATTTCCATGTCTCCCAGCGGGCACCTCCTTCCGTTTATACATGATTTGCAAAGTATGTATGTTTGATTTAAAATTTCTGTAGTCGTTATATTTGTAGAATATATCTTATTGGCATATTTTTGTTTGGGAAACAAAAATGAAAATGGCAGTTTACTGCAACAATTGGTCCTCAGGAACACTGTATATGTGTGTGGTAAGTATGTGTATGGTTCTAGTTGGATGTGTGGCCCGACAGCTATTCCTTTGGATAAATCTCAAGTACGTCTCATGTTTCTACTTGCCTTCTCATACTCTTGTTTATCTGATGTCGGCAGGTAATTCCAATTGTAAAAATGGTGGGAATTATGTTGTAGTCTCCTTAAAATAATGTCCGTTTTCAGAAGAACTTTTGATATCACTCATTCAGCCCAGTGTTTCGTACAGCACTTTAAAACAAACTGCCAAAATTTCTAGCCACATCAGTAAGATTGGCTTAATTAAACGTTGAATAATGGAATGTATTCAGGTCTGTCGCACTCTGCAGACACTGGTAATTTGCATCAAATTGGTGCAAATCATTCATCTAATCTTAAATATTACTTTTACAGCCAATACATCTCTAAATTGGTTGTATTTGTTAAGCAATTTGACACATGAAAATGGCACATGAACCAGCTTTTATATGCCAAAATGCATGATAATTTACTCGAATCCTCAAACAAAAAAAAGTTGAATGCAGCAGTGTTTTGTTTTTGTCCGTCGTAAGTGGACGTGTGAAAAGTTGTTTCATGTGTCGTTTTCCTCTCGAGCTATGCCACAGTAATTTAACAGTTTCTCTTCTTTCGTTTCGGTCAGTTCATCCAGTATGTGATAAAACCGTACCAATGAAAAGCTTCTTATCTTTTAGTTTAAAGTCTCCAGTGCTCACCCCACTTCTTGACCATATCCAGTTGTACCACAGAGATAGCAGACACACAGGCAGTGCTTAAACGCTTGTAGCATGTTACGGGAAAGTAAATTGAACAATAAGATTTGAAGCTAATTTATATTTCCACAAGAAAATCTTCATGTTTTGCCTTTCAGCATCAAGATTATGTATTTAAGGATGAACAAAGACAAAAATCCCGAATGACCTCAAGTAAAAACATTGCTGTAATTGACATAATAAAAAAAAAAGTTTTTCAATTTGTGTTAAGCTTTTATTGTTTTAGCTTACGGGGGTTTCCAATTCTAATCCATACTCCTGCGAGATGTGAGCATAAACACACAGAAATTCAATAGGTGGATGTGGTCTCTGACATCGATCCAGATCCATTTCAACCCAATCAATTTCTATCATTTATAGAAAAGGAGTTTTCAAGTTGATGATTTAATCTGTAATGTATTTCTACATTATTAGAGTTTACTGGTTATGTAAAAATCAAGATGTGGAAGTAGAGAGAACATGATTAACTGCACTCATAAGTGGCTCTGACTCCTTTCAGGCTATTTTAGTCACCGAGACCTTTTTTATTTTATTTTAATATAATGGATGTCCCTGCGGCTGTAATAAAGTTTTCCAGATTACATTTGCTGATTGCCTTCTCCTCTCACAGCCTGTCAGGGACCCTGCCAGATTATAAAAAAAAGAATTTTAGTTTCTGGTTTATTTGAATTCGATAGAAGGTAGTACTTGACATAAATCACATTTTAAGTCGTTGCCTTTACTCCGCAGGTCAGCGAGCTGCTACCGGGGAGGGCCATGGCCATCATCAGCTCGCTAGTTGCTGCGAGATCTGTATCTATTTTGGGAGCAGTGCACTTGTCAGGGAGGTTGATATGTGAGTCATACAGAACCTTAAATTCTTACCTCTGCTGTGAAGCTTCACTTTGTGTAGCTCGGCATGGAAGAGGGAGCAAATCGTGCAGGACTAGTTTTTGATTCCAGATATTTGCTTCCATAGATTTATAAGGATATCACATTCAGTGAGGGAGTTTATATTGGAGACATTAATGTGTCAGATATACCTTTAACCCTTTGAAACCTGGAGCGAAATCACTTTTCTTGTGCTGCTTTCAGACGCCTTTCTCAAGTATTTAAACCTTTGAACCCTGAGCAAATTGGTGAGATTTCTTTCAAAAACATGAGAAAAAAAGGCAATGAGCAACTTGGTAAGAAATGTCCCAAAAATGGCAAAAAATAATACATTGAAAGAAGAAGAAAAAACCTAGAAAAAATGATGATGATTATGATTATGATTATTATTATTATTATTATTATTATTATTATTATTACATATTTAAAATTATGGTACAGAATTATTCAAAATTTTAAGCACTTTCTTGTTCATTTTCTTTTTTTTTACTTTCTTGTTCATTTTCTTTTTTTTTACTTTTTTTTCTTTTCTCTTTTAAAAAATTAATTTTCTTATTTTAAATTTTCTCTTTTTACCAATTTCTTGCAAACTTTTTGGGTCATGTCTTTCGTTGAGCATTCATTGCCTAAAGCCCTTTTTCCAGGTCATTTCCTTGTTTGTTTGTTTGTTTGTTTATTTACTTTTTTTTCTTCACTAATTTCCTGTTTTTAATTTCCTCTTTTAATTTCGTGTAGACGTTCTGGGTCATTTCTTCTTTCGTTGTGAATTGCCTTGTACCATGTTTTTGTGAGAAGTCAAAGCCAATTTCAAAGGGTTAAAGAACTTAATCATGTAAGACGTAACATTTTCTGTGAATATGAGCCTGACTTGGCATTTATTTTTTAAGCACCATATTGTAGCTTCAAGAAATGCGTTATCCCCCAAATGTAAGTGCATCAATTACTCACCCTGTTATGTTGAAATTTTGAAGAAAACTTTGTTCTCGCATGCCTCCATGGTGAATGAAGAATCTAAAAATTGATAAAAGTATTGTTGAATTTAAGTCATGGGGCATTTTAACGCTTTTAACAGCAAAACTATATCAAAACATCAGTTTACAAACTCTCACATAACTCGTGTGGTATAATCCAAGTCCCATTCATCCAGTCGTATGCACAGTACTTCCCAAACGGACAACTGAAAATGAATCTTATCTTTGCTCTCTTCAAAGCCTGACTCCATTTACCTTGCTGAACACAGGAGCTGCTGATATACTGCTGCATCTCTTTGTGTTTTTGTGTGACTTTGCTGAAACTTACTCTTTTAAAACTGATTAATCAAGAATTTTTTTCTGGTTATGGATTCTTCGTTCACCATGGAGGCATGTGCGAAAAGGTTTTCTTCCGAGTTTAATGCAACATGTGATGAGTAATTGACATACAAATGGTCATTTTTGTCAGTAAAGTGGTACTTTAAGGGTCTCATCGCTTTATATTGAGTTTCTTGTTTCCACTGACACAAATCACAGTAGGCCCACTGTCACAAAGGTAATGATGTTTTGTGTGCATGCTTTTTGGGTACTGCTTATATATCAGTGTGCCCCCTTTAACGCCATGGCAGCAGCACATTAGTGTGTTTTTATTAAGAGAAAAAGCACAACAAGAGTACCGACCACATAAAAATCATAATAAAATTATATCACATATAAAGTCACATATGAAATAGCATTACACATTTAGGTCTACATAAGAAATAAACGGGACATAAAAGAATACTGAACCCTAATTCTCCTCCACAAAGCAATGACGTTATTATGTGGAAAATTAACTATCTCAGGATAAGTATCTGTATTAATAATTAAGTGCACACTTCTTAGCAGCTCTCAGCAACAGTAAACTTCTCCCAACTTTCAGTGTTTGTTAGTATAATTTATGTTTGAAATAAATCCAAAGTAAGGTGTGAACCTTCTGAACTGATAAATATTCATGAGATGCACCCAGCAGCTTTAAAAATAAACCTTTTCCCTGACAAAATAATGAAGTTAATAATACAACTGTTTGTTTTTTGGAATATCACCCACTATAAAAAAAAGAGGTTTATTAACCTGAATAGAAAAGAGGAGCATCTCAGAATCTGATGGCGCATCCGTCCCCCTGAATACCTTTCAAGGTCTCATCTGGCGTGTGTGCATCTGCTGAGATTATTTTTGTCCAGACCCCATCCATCACACTCACGTAACATTAATGAGCTATCAAGCCCACCGGACAGACGGTGTGTAACAGAAATGTGCCCCTGGCACTGGGAACAAACTCAGGGAGCTGGGATGTGTTGTGAACTGGATCTTCACATGAGGCTATCATGTTGATGGATGGGGTTATGAATTAAATGCAATCTGTATGTTGGATTTGATCCACAGGCCGGATTTTTCTTTATTTGGAGGGATGGAGCGACGTGTTTATTTGCCCCAGTGCCATGATGGTGTACTTTATGGCTGGATGTAGTTTATGGGTGTTCAGCTGTGTGGAGGGTTGGGCACTTGGAAGAGTGCTGCACCATACTCATGCTGTCAGGGTGAAATATCACTGCACTCTCTCTTGATTGCTGTGTACGGTGCTTCAGCCCTATTCATAAAAATGCAATTTCCATGCAGCTCTGTGCCCAGCTTGACGAAATAAACTACGACACACCAGAGAGGCAGATTTAAGGCGTGGAAGAGCGCCGAGGCTGCTTTAGGGGCTCGATGCTCAATTACCACATGCAGACGGTTGAGGACAAACATCCACTCCTGGGAAAAGACTCAACTTAGGGCTGGTAAGCACTAACTGAATCACAGAATATTTCAACACATAATAAGATATCAGTAACTGCATTTTGGAGATGACTTTTTTTAGTTTAACAAGATAACGCTGTTCTGTGAATACTTGTGTATTTCCAAATTTATTGATTTAAAATTAGATAAACTGGATTATTATTATTTATCTGCTACTTAAAGAAGTGGAAAAATAACACCAGGGACCAGTCCACACAAATTAATTTCGATCAGAATGATCCAAAACACTAGATTTGATCACCCGGATCTAGATACAATCTTCAATATCACCAAAACTGGATAACCAGTGCTCTAAATGGGACTGTTAATCACAATGTAGGCTACTGGCTATGTAAAGAACAAGCCAGCGTGGGGTCACTAGAAGTTTTTTTATTTGAAGAGACAGAAAACAGCATGGGGGATGCAGTTATTAGAAACTACTACTTTTGACTGTCACTTTGGTAAAAATGATAAAATGATGAATGGAAGTTAAAATTAAGGGATTTTTGTTTGACATTGACAGCTCTTTGGAGGATTTCTTTGTTAAGACAAAACCTTTTTTACTTTACTGAAAGACTTAATAGGTAGTGAAATGCCAACTTTATCTGCTTTAACACTGTAATGGTTAAACAGATCAAGTGCAAAATATAAATAAATTAATACATAGTTGTCTAATTTAAAAGTCTTTTACATCGTGTTCCTGAAATCCACCCTGAATCCACCCTTTTCCTGGGGTTAGGATAATCCTGATTTTTTTGCATCAAAGGTATCCCAGTCTTTCTGAAAAGTTTCGAACAACACACTGAAGGTTTGATCCAGATCCAAACCAAAACTGGATACATGATCTAATTTGACTTCACAATGTTTTTCTTCATTGGACAGCCTATTTTCAATATTCGATCCAATCTGATATCTGAAATCCCTTCAGATTACGCATGAACATCTGGGCCAGGTTGAAGAGCAGTGTCTTGTTGCCCACTCAGGTTGAACATTTCAAGCCTGTTTCACCTCTGACCACACCTAGTATCACTTATAGGTGTGATGTGGTCTTTTGAACCTGTAACCACACCCAACAATGATGTCACCAGGTCCCGAAGTCAGGGCTGGAAGTTAGCTTTATTTGTCCAACTCAAAATCTACTTCCCTCTCAGTATATCACCATTTTTTTGGCTGGTGAGTGAAGCAAATCTAGCAGCAACTTGCATATTTTACCATCATTTTGCTGGTGCTGATGTCCAGCCGTGCCTGAAATATACCTGTACTTGACTGCAGCAAGGTGAAAAGCAAAGACTAGATTTTCTGGGGGAGTTAAGTTACTCTCTAAGCTAAATAAAGCATCAAAAACCCACTGGCTCAGGGCATCAGCTAGATCACCTGGTAGACAGGGTGCCCCATGTACAAAGGCAGTGTCCTTGTCGCAGCGGCTGTGAGTTCTATTCTGACCGATGGCCCTTTGCTGGATGTCATCTGTCCCCCCCCCCCCCCCCCCTCCTTTCACTTTGAAGCTTTCCTGTCCAATAAGGCAAAATGCCAAAAATATAATCTAAAAAAACAAAACAACAGAAAACACTACTTTATCTGAACAGGGCCTAGAAGTCATGCTAGCAGCTGTGTGAGGCTGTCCTCAGACACAGTTGTGGTTTAAGCTAAATGCTAACAGTATGCTAACATGCTGATGTGAAGCAGGTGAAATGTATGTATGTAATTTGATTACGTTGCGACTGTTATCCCTCAGGATATTTAGCATTGGTACAATTTTATTTTGTGTTTTTATTTCCATTAGTTGTTAATCTGCTGTTGATCCTTGGGTTAATTAATTAATCATTATGACGATAAAATGGTGTGTCTTCAATATGCTTGCTTTATTTTTCTCTACAGAACTCAGAGATACACTAATATAAAACAGAGTCAGTCCTCACACTAGAGAAGCTGGATCCAGCATTTTTTGGGTCATTTTTACCCATGTATTTAAATGATTAATTGATTTATCAAAGTTGCTGCAGTTTAATTTACAATAAATCAGCTACTCTTTTCAGCTCTAGTAAAAAAACGGCATTCTTCAAAGCCTTAAAAACCTAGACCTAGTATTTTCTTTTTCTTCCAACAAAAGAGCAGGTTGAATGTAAGGAATCTGGATCAGACAGGTTCGCTGGTTTGAACTATTCCGTTATTTGTCTTCTAGAGAAAGATAGCCGTCAGTGACAGGAGACAGAGTGGGAGGGAATGACAGCTGCTCATACATGACAATATACAGCCTCCAAAAAAAAACCCTCGCTCTGCCTAGACTTCCTGTTCAAAGAGAATGGCATTAAAACTGATGAAGACAGAGAGGAGATTTATTCTGCTGGGCATTAGTCTCCCAGACTTGAAAGTGAAGTTGCGTCTCGAGTCTTCTTCTTGTTTGTGAAACGCTGGCATTCAGTTTGACCTTAGCAGATTTTAGTTGTGTTTGTATGCAACATGCTGTTTGTTACATCTGACACTGTGATTTTGACTTAATTGCTACTTAACCCGCTCTGAAACAAACATATTAACATCACAGTTGTTTCATTTTATGCTTAAACACATGGTTTTGATGCCTCGCCATTATCCTTTCACCTGCAGAACCACCTGCTTAAGTCAACCCGCTGCCCGAGCCTTCCTCCCAGCTCCCACTGTGGCCCATTGAGCGTCCTGCCATTTCCTTTCAAAACAGGAGGATGTGATGCGAGGATGTGAGTGCTGCGGTCAGGTCCCCGGTGAGCTCGCCTTGCAGAGCAGCGGTGTGAGAGATGGCTCCATGACAATGGGCTTCCTGGCAAAGTTTTCCCTTTTTCTTTCCTCGTTGCTCGGGAGGAAATCGGGTGTTTAACTCAGGTTTGCACACTGCAGAGCGGTTCGACAGTGTGAGGATGGCTTCAGTGTGATAACATGTCGGAGCCTCAGAGTCCTGTGGTAGAGGTCTCCATGCCAACCGCTGCACAATGGGCACAATATAGCTAACTCTGCCTTCAAGGCCTTAGAGGGTATTTTAAGATCTCTCGCTCATTTGATCTCATGACACTGTTCATTTTTTACGACAACACATTCATGTTAGCTGCAGTGTGTGGAGGGTGTTTTCACACACGCTAGTAAATCTCATTTTTTCACTGCTTCACCAGAGCTGTTGCACTACATAGCGAGGCAAGTAGGAGTTTATAGGAGTTATTTTTTCCAGTCGAGTATGAGCTAATTTTTATTTTATACTCAGCAGTTTTCTACAATTCCTTTTCAAGATGAAGCCTCTGGAAACCACCAGCTGTACCAGCCCTACTTTTCACTTTTTATTCAACCCCTCCACTTTCTCATACTCCTTTTTTTCCTCTCCTCAGCACTGGGGGAAGATGAAGCACTCGAGTTTGCTAGAATCTGTTTCCCAGCAGCGGCCCGAGCTTTAAGATGGATCGAGGGGATTTGCATGGGGTGGGGTGGAGAGAGTAAGAGATGTGAGAGAGAACAGGAGAGAGAGAGATGTTACTGCTGAGGCGCAGCAAATGAGGGCTGGTAGAGAGGGGAGGAGGGAGAGGGAGGAGAGAAAAGGGGGCATAGTCACACAGATCAGAAAACAACAGTCCCGTCCTGTGCCCAGGGGACAGACGCTGCTGTCTACTCACATTGAGAGTGAGCGGGGAGGAGGGAGGATTGACTTTTACCTGCTGTAGATGCGGCGCTCTCCCCTCGCCTCCCCTCTTCTTTGCTCTTCCCTTCAACCCAGCCTGTCTGGAGCCGCAGAGGACTGTCAGCCTGTACAGACGAAGCACAAGATCAGAGTGCTGGCAGAGCAACTGTGCCTACAGCTCTGCTACCTGCTCTACCACCCTGAATTACTCTCCCTCACACACGCACACCAAAATGCTCTCACAGGCACACATTCAGAGAACTTTCTCTTGCGCGCACACACTTATATGCTGACAAGCAGGCAGGCAGGCACACCCCCTCCCATTATCTGTGCGGCGAGCAATTCTGCTCATATTGGTGTGAGCAGCGAGGGGCTGTACTTCACTCCTCAGCAGCAGCAGCAGCAGCAGCAACAGCAGCAGCAGTAGCAGTAGCAGGACGGGTCCAGAGGAGAGCAGTCATCACCAGAGATCACACACCAGCTTCTACAACTGAAGGCAAGCCCCCCCTTTCCTCCCTCTTCTCCCTCTTATTTTTCCCTCTCTTTTCCTCTCTCCTCTTTTTTACTGTCTTCATGTGACGCAGTGTTGCTGACCTTCCCTCATCCCCCTCCTCTTGTCTCTCTCCTCAGCGTGTGCCAACGGGTAACCATGGAGGACACCCTCACCTGCAGCCATGCCACCTTCTCCCAGGTGTTTGGACGCCAGGGACAGCTCATGCAAGCCAGTGAGTAGCCCCTCAATTACACCTCCTGCCTCCTGACAAATCATTAGCCAGCTGCACATCCCGCATGTCAGCGTAACTGATCTCCACCCTCAGCATTTCTTCCCGATCCCATGCTCAATCTTATTACCATTTTAATTTAACTGATGCTAAGAGGCACGACAACAAGGTTTTTAAGGTACAAAAAGATGACCGTGTCATAGCTTAAATCTTCCTGGGCTGCTGCAAAGAGTTTTTTTTTTTTTTTTTGGGGGGGGGGGGGGGGGGGGGGGGGGACTGGGTTATTTTGGGAAGGATGATATGCGTGCTTATGTAAAGGGCAAGGAGAAATAATCATGTTTCGATTGTGATTGTGGTTGATGTTTCTGTTGTCTCTGCAAGTTCCTGAGGAGCTGGTTGGATGCCTTAACTTGTGTACTGTTGTGTTTTAAGGATGAGCTACAAAAGCATCTTTTTTCAGACAGTTTTCAGGTTGAACTTGGGGCTATGGCTCAGCTGTGTTCGGGGTCGCAATCTGGCAAACAGGGCTGTTTATGGGGACCTCAGCTGTTTTGTGGACTAGTTATTGTTTTGTTGACAGAGCAGGTTGATAGCAAAGAACATTTCTGCATGTTTTCAGTAATTTGATTGAATTCTAAAGTCGCTGATAAAGACATTTTTCACTGTCAAGCATTGAACCAATGAAACAGACTCTAGCTGAAATATATTCATAATGCAGGTGCACAGTATTAGTCAGGTTGAGTCTGACAGGCAGAGACACTATCAGAGATGCTCTCAGAGCTCAGACTGATAGCTGAATTATTGAAAACTGAGCCTATCAAGATTTTCAGGGGCACAGGAACATTGAACACAACCTTGGAGTGCTGCAAATGCAGCATACTTCAAGTGATATCTTATTATGTAATGCACATGGTCAGAATACATATTTCCCTCAGGAGGAAAAAAAAGAGCAGAGATTGACTTGCCTCCAGAATGAAAGTGTCCGCTTCATCCTCTCTCATCTGGCCTGGTATCTCTCCTCATGGAGTCGTGCTGTGAGAACTTAGTCGATGCCTTTGATGCCTCCGCTCGGCCATAAATGCAGAGTGATTCTTCACACAGTGTTATGATGGATAATGAGGAGAGCCCAGGGCAGACATCAAAATAAAGCTGCCTTTAGAGTTGCATCCCATACATTGACTTTGCCACATCAGTTTTAAGTTCCTGTGTTTCCCTTCATTACCACCCGGAGAGAGAAGTGTCTTGGTGGAGTTTCAAAGTGAGTGTCATTAACAGCAAATCCAGCTAAGACATCATTTTGTGAAGCTAATAATGGAAACACGTCAGTCATCTTCTTGAGCTGGAAGCATCAGACTTCTCTACACGTGTTTGTTAATAGGCGGTGTTGCAGGATTTCATCTGTTGGGATTTATTTCGCCTGTTTGATTCGTGGAGATGTTTGAGAAGATAAACATGAAAATTTTTTTGAAAACTTTTTTATAAATAATGCACTTTGTTTGAATGTATCAGTAGGCTTAATACTGTGTTGATAAGGGCATATTACTGTTAAAGGGTTGCAAGGCCCTGATGAATATTCTGCTTCATGCAGGCAGAACGCTGGAAGCATCTTTACGAACTGAGTGCTTTTGGAGCACTTTTGATCTGCTGTGTGTATCTCTGGTTTCATATATTTATTGCGAGCAGAGAGGGTGACCCTCTCAGGGTTTATGTGCAAATAATATGTACACACAAACACTGGAACATTTAATGCACGCTGTGAATACTCAAATGTATGCATACTTTTCCACATATACTGGCCTTGTGTTAATCTGTGTGCATGCCTTTGTCAGTGTACTGTTCTGTGTGTGTGACTGGGTCAGTTTATCTGGAGGGCATCACTGTATAAAAGGGAGGTAAAACAAGATGAGGGTGTGGCAGCGCTGAAGATTTGTATCACATCGCATCACGGCTGACAGCTGAGCCCTTCTAACCTTCAAAATAAAAGTGTGAAAGTTTTAGAGATCTGAAGACGTATCAAAGTACACAGGGGAATAATTAGATTGTGAACAGCCTGAAGGAAAACTATAACTTCAAAATACACTCAGAGGCCAGTTTATTAGGTACACCAATCTAAAACTAATGCAGTCTTATACAGCAGACGTGCAATAGCTCCCTCGTGAAAGTTATAATGTTCTGATTTTCTTAAAACTGTTTTAGAGAGGTATTGATTTAACTGAATCAGCATTGCATTGTACAGATGGGTTCTTCTATCGTTTTGTCCGAGGCTAAATAACAGAAACATCTGGCTGTATAGTGCAGTGCAGTTTAACAGCAACTACATCTTCCAAAATATTATAGCGTTCAGTTTTTCCAGGTTGGTGCCACTTGTGTACAGGAGTGGGGATCATTGAGTAATTCACGATAGAATACTATCAGAAGATGTTGCCCGCGGTAACGTTCATGATTTTGTGATACTTGATGTCTATATTGATGTATATGTTATATGTTTATTCATCGCTTTGTGGTGTCAGTTTCACAGAATTTGACAACTGAGATGAAACGGTGTACAAAAAACGTGTTTACTGACTTACAGCGGTGGCAGTGTTGGCTGTTTTGAACATGTGGCGGTACGTGTTGTGTTACCCGTGTACTTTACTTTTACGAGACAGTTCCTGCAAATAGTGTACTTCTTATCAATTTTGTTTGTCCCGTCTGTGTTGTAAAAGCTGAAGTGGGCCCAGACTTTCTACTTGAATGATGCTTGGCGATGCTTCTCTTGTTTGTTTCTCCCTGCTGTCCGCCATTTTCCCCCTGTGAATTTCTGCTTCACTACAAGCTAGTTAACTTAAATTCACTTTACCCTCATTCATTTGATAAGCACCACCACAAGGAGTCATGAAGTAGTGACTCTGGAAAATCAAATAGGCAGGGGAAAATATTGATACCTGACGCCAGTGAATTGATAACGGCACACAAGACAAAGTAATATGATATATTCCCATATTGATATTTTGTCCCACCCCTACTGGTGTGTTGTATGTGAAGACATGTCTGGCTAGGTGAGACTAGGTGTTTACTGATGAGTAAAATAAGTTGTATTAAGTTAAATCAAGTGTTGTACAGCCTCCCAAATTCTGCTATCCACAACTAATATCTAAAATTGCAGTATCTGTGTTCATTCAGCCCACTGAGTCTGTTTGTTTTATCATGAAAGGCCACATGAAAGTGTGATGCAATGTGTGTACACTATCTGGCTCATGCAAATTCTGTTTGATTGGGCCACAATGAACGGGTTAGTTGTCAAAAAGGATGCACAAGCAAGAGGGGCAAATCCAACAGATATGCAAATCACAGTTCCAGTTAGGATGCTGTTGTGTTTTGATGCATCGAGATGAAATTGGGTTTTATTCCAAGTGACTGTCATTCTTTTACAGAAAAAAGAGGCAATCCTTGTGAGACGGTGAAGTCACAATGAGAAGAACAAGAGCTGTTAGTACACAAACGCAGCCGCGGCGTCTTGAAATTATAGATGTGTTCTGTAATTTGCAGCCATTCAGAGATAAAACGTCCTCCTCCCTCAGTGCAGAGCGACAGAAGTGCCAAGACTAATACTTAATGTGGGAAACATAGATTAAGCAAAACTATAGACAGACTGTCCTCTTATCCAAACGGCATATTTTCATTTGTGCATCTTTTCAACGACTCTAATTTAGCCCCGGGCAAATGGCAAGTGAGAAGTGAGAACTACATGCATTATTCACCACATCTTGAGTGTGTTTGTGTTGCTTCCTCATCGCTGGTTGAATTCCCTCCTCTTTATCTTTGCTTTTAGTTTTACCAACACTTTGTCCTACTTCTTGGCCTTAAACCGATTGCGGCAACAAAAAGTTCTTAATGGTTAACAGCTACATGGAAGGAAGGAGAGACCTTGTGTGTTCCATCACTGTGTTTGCACTAATCCCTGCACGTTCAGGCTCTGCTCCTTCTTGCCCAAATGACCGTGCCCTGACAGTGCAGCGGTTTCAGTCACCTTTCTGCTCCACTGGACCAAAGTGATGCGAGGATCAGCACAGTGTAAGGGTGTCCGCAGTGTAGCCCAGGAGGTCCACAGAGGCCCATAACTCTGAATATCTTCATTCTCTCTCTAGTGTTGAGCCACCCTCACGTCTCTGCACAGAGGTCAAGGTGCTGGCGTATGGCCAGCGTTCTCGTCCCTATTAGACTCCAGGCCATCGAACCTAATAGTAATATAATTCAGCGAGAGAGGCTCTTTAAAGTGCTTCTTTAATTGAGTCATTTTCAGTGCAGGTGTGCACTGAGTCTAATCCCATAAGAGCTAACAGAATTTTTGCCAGCTATAATAAACTTTCCTTCTCTTGGTAAAAGCCTGGGCAGATATATCAAATATGCACATAGTATTTGTGACCACTGCTGAATAAGTCCCTCACAATGGTTTATATATGCTTACTTACATTATTGATCTGAGTATCCCCAGCAGCACTGAAAATCACTTCATCAGAGTAGATGCAGGTCTAATTTAGATCTCTCCCTCTCTCTCCTAATCCCCATATTGGATTTAAGAACCCCAGTAGAGCTAAGAGTTGTGGACCTTGCCTGTCTGTCAGTGGGTATATCCCCACTCATAGCGACAGCCTCAGGCCAGTCAGACATATTTGTTAATTCTACATAAGCTGCTTTAAATACCTGTTTACAGTTAAAGGCAAACAACATGCTGGTGAAATAAAAATAGGAGCTGCGTTTAATGTATAGCAGTATGCTAAATGGTATTGAATTGCAGGGTGTAGAATTGCGTGCACTTAGTTGCATAGTTCTACGTGGCAGGAGATCACATGTATCTTCATTAGCACACTTTCCCTTAAGGTGATCAATAAACTGATGGGAGTTCACTGACTGCATTAGTTAGGTGTTTTCTCTCCGAATCGATGTGTCTGCTCTTTGACAGGAGAGCAACGTCTCCTTGATTGACACAAGTCTCCTCACTGACTGTGGAAACACTGTTGAGG